CTTCTTCTCTTTCTAACAAAATAGATTTTATATTGGTGACATCCCATCGTATTATGGTATTAAAATCCTCATATTTAATAAGAAAATTATTTACAAAAATGTTAATAAGTGAAATATATTGTTTATAATTTCCATTTGACAATAACTCACACATAAAAATTGGCCACGTCTTTCTCTCACTTGCATCTGGTTCCCGTGTTAACATCGCATTTCGGCTTGGTTTAGGTCGATTCTCTATAAAGTCGGTTTTTAATTAATTTAATCGGTACTGCCAGATTCACATTGACAGACGATCGATCCGATTTTAAACTTGCGTTAGGGACCTAAGCATAATTATTAGTGAATAATCTCAATACATCATTATATAAATTTGTTTGAATTTAACATTGTTAAATATTTTAAATAATGCCAGCTTCATCTATTCTAACTCATAATAGTATTATAAAAATATTATAAATGTTCATTTAATGATTAATTTAATTTATTATTTACTAAGTTGTTTCTATTTATTGAATCATTTTCTATAGTTTATATCATTTTAAAAATTATGTATATTATTATATGCTATTTTATATATAAAAATATCAAATAAATATTATTGTTGTATATTTAAATATTTTATTTAGTATTTAAACATTCATAAAGATTATAGATAGCAAGGCTACTGAATGTATGCCAATTTAGTGACTACACCACTATATAAAATAAATTTATGTCGAAATTATCTTCGTACTCATCATCGCTCTCTCTAAGTGTTTTATCATGTAGTGATTAGGTCGAGATGAGTGTATTTTCTCTCAGGAGCATATCTTCAAAGAACTCGCTCGAGACTAGCAGAAAATTCATTGATTTGGGAGATCCACTAGATTTATCATGATGAAATTCATCCCAACGAATTTATGGGACATGAACATGCAATACAATGGTTGGATCACCATGAATTGCATGTTCCGCTCATAATGTCCCACTCACCAAAATATAGATGCTTATGAATGGAAATTTTCTTAATATGGAGTGATCCTAATGGGGGTTTTGCTTCTTTCATACTCAAATAGTGTTGAGGAACAACTTCTATGAAGACTACAACAGCTAATACTCACTAGATTGGGAAATCAAATTTAGTCGTGAAGGTGTCATCGAAGCTCAATCAGGTTCACTCTTACATGACTATGGAAGGCTAGGGAATAGGTGCAATTGATTGCTCTCACTATGGGGAAGCTAGAGAAGGCAATTGTTTTACTCGACCTTAGCTAGATAGTGAGCTATATATAGTGTTCAAACATGCACCTAACCAAAATTCCAACCAGGGCAAAGGTGTTCTAAGTGGTTAGGCTGATATTTGGCTAGCCTATAGGGTGCTGCCATGTGGCTTAAAATGATCAATGCTTAGTGATGGTTGGCCAAGCAATGTAGGTGACTTAAGTGGAAATGGGGCTTGGGTTAGGTTGTTTTTCAGCCATATTTGGCAAGCCATGTGCATGGTTCTGCTGAGTTGGCACTGGCTTTAGAACATTCAAGTAGCATATAGGAGCTTAGGGGCTAGTTAGACTGGGCTTGCGTAGGTTAAATTTGATTTTTAAGGGTTTTCATCTACTTGGGTTAGCTCAATGTGGTTATTTAGGTTTGCCTAAGATTTGGATTGGCTTGATTGGCTTCATTAGCTAGATTAAGGTCCTAGGAGCTTGTGGCCAAGTTTTGGGGTGATAGGGTTGAGTAGGTTAAGGTCAAAGGGCCTAAAAAAGGCATTTTGATTATTTGTCTAAACCATGGTCAACCAAAGTGACCTAGGGTAGGGTTGGGCTTAGGTGAGTTCAAGAATAGGTTTAAGAGGCTTGGAGGTTTTGGGAAGGTTCGAACTAAATAAGCCTAATTTGGGTCCTTTAGGGGCATTTTGTATATTTTTAAATTTTACGTCAATAAATGGTCAAGAAGGGTTAACTATGGGCCCATGAAGAGTCAAGCTGATTCCTAAAGCATTTGGAACCAATGTACTTAGGTCCTGGGATGAGAGATTTGAAAGAGATTTAATTTGACCTAAGATGACCAAGGCTAAGTTTTAGGATCTTTTGATGATTTAAAATAATTGTTAGCCTTCATAAGGGGGTTGACCAAAGGTCAATATTGATTCTAAATTATTTAAATATGAATTTGGGTCTCCTAGGGTCAAGGTTAATGTGAGCAAATTAGGTTTAAATTACTAGGACAATCCTATGGGAGATTTGATAATTTCAAAGTTTCTAGATTTCAACCTAAGATTTTGACTTGAGGTTTGAATTTTAGTTGATCTAGTTACCTTCCTAAGGTTACTATGGAGTGTCTATGCGCTTCTAGAGCTATACGATGCTAAGTTCATGTGTCATCTCCTTGAGAATCTATAAACCACTTCTACACTAGGGTAGGAAGATTTAAGTTCTAACAATGACCTAGAGAGAGAGAAAAAGAATTGACCTCATTTTAAAATGAGATTAATAATTATCACTTATTTTAGCAATCTTGTACGCTTGAGAAATTGTTTTTAATATCATATATGGTAATCTTATACACTATACAAAAATACAACCACGCTTAAATACATATAACAAATAAATCTCCTCATTATCTTTCTCCCTCTTCCCCTCCCCTCTTAGTGATATATATATGTCTGCAATGAAGTTTCAATGCTTTCCAAAGACAACATGGAATTCAATAAGCTGCATAAGTGGATATCTTAAATGAGAGCAGCAGAGTGACTTCTTGCATGTGATTAATTTAGAAACATATATTACCATATTTATTAACTACCATAAAATTTAAATAAAAAATATTTATAAATGTTAGTCCACTCATTATAAATTCAACGCCAAAATTGTTAACATGGTAAATATGAGCATGTTTAACAGTTAATTGGCCTATAACATCTAGAACCAGTCTGAAAATCATTATATATCATTCTTATAATCAACTCTCTTGCCATAATTAAGCATTCTATGGTCGAACCTATTGGAAAGACTTGGTGTAATAATAGAAGATAAGTACATTTGTGTTAAGACTAATCGTACGTCCTATTGAAATGGAGTCAGCGCATAAACCTTATGAAATTGAGTAATTAAAGAAGAAAAAAATAAAAAGCTCATACAGTTCTCCTCTTCTTTTGGAGCTTCTTCCACTAAAGGAAAATATTGTAGGGTAGACCTAAAAAATCATGAAAATGCCCACTCATTGCTTTACTGATAGAGGATTCCCACTCAGCAAAGAGGATACTACAATGCTTGCTAACTTGCGAGTCGTCGTGATGGTAGTATTGACAAGATCGAGAACCAAAGCTGTTAATTGTAAAGAAGATAAAGTTTTGGCCCACAGCTCCATAAAGGTAGAACATGAGAATATCCCATGCCACTTCTGAGTGCTCCTTGCAAAAACTCACCGCAGCATAGTCAGTTGCATATTGGGCCAAACAAACATGTAGATGCCATTATAGATTGCCCCCCAATGGTTCATTCTGAGCATAATTTCCCATGCACTAGTTTTCATGTATCCACACAAAAAAAAAAATCTATATTTTATTTTTCAATGGTTTGGCATGTACTCTTATAGTGTATCTTAATTATAAGGTTGTGAAATAACCTTTCTTTTGAAATAATCTTGGGTTGCATTCGTCAAATCATCAAAAATTAAGTTTAAGAAGCAGAGTCCGTAACCATAAGGAGCATTCAGGTGAGCAAGCTTGCTTATAGCTTTTGAGCTTGTATGGGGTGTATTTGGATTAAAAAGACAAGTTAATTTTTACAAATGAATGTATTTATTAGATTTTTTTTTTCATGTTGTAGATTGATTGAATTTTAACTAGCAATATTGGATAGCTACCTCTTAAATCACTCTATTTTATTTAATTCTCAATGAAATTCAAGGAGAAGTTAAAGTGGAAGAAGACTACCTTGTAAAGTGCAAATGCGGGCACACCTCCACCAATGAAGAAATTGCATATATATTCAGGCAAAGCATACTTTATACCATATACAAGAGCACCCATGAGCATAATTGCATTTTAATTAAGCATGTTTAAGTCAAATGTCAAATGACTAATGAAATCAAAATGTAAGTTGATTGTAATAAATTAATCCCCCAAAAAGCTAAAGCAGATTATACTTATAGGGCGGAATAGTATTTACATTAAAAAGTGGATATTTTATATATTGAGACATTGTTTTCGATGATATTCTCAGCACTCTAAATGGTAGGCATGTACCTGCACTAGAGTTTATACATACTTGTGGGCCTCAAAAAATTCCACGTTGAATTACAGTAGAAGGTTAGCCTATGTGGACTAACATATTTTATAGTTCCATGTGAATGAATATGAGGTAGACTAAATATATAAATTAAGCCCCTTTAAGTGCATCATCAAAATCAAGCCTTTTTTAATGCGATAGCAACTTCAAGTATTTTTAGAATGTCAAAAACCATCATTTTCTCAACTATCAAATTTTCATCATAGAAAACATTTATAAATATGTAGAGAAAATAAATTAATTAATATAATAGAAACAATTCCTAAAATCTAGACTTGATATGCATGGATGATTACTAATCTACGTCACTTGTCAAAAAAAATTCTAATCAGGTTTGCTTGGGGATCGAGGATGAGAGTCAAGCATGATATTTGCGGGCGACTAACTACAAGAATAATGCTTAATTAACATGCACAAATTTGTGAGTTTGATGTCAACTTGCACTTTGCATGAGACAATCATGTAAGTGATGTGATCAATGACATATGACATTGTCAGTAAGTGATAACAAATGAAGGCAATAAATGGCAAGCTGCGAACTAGTGAAATACATGCACATGATTTTTTTTTGTAGGCACGATAGTTGTATAAGTAGTAGAATGTGGAAGTATTTTTATTGTGTATAGTTATGTGTGAAACTATGTGTGTAGTTATAATTATGAATGTTTTTTTTTTTTTTTGGGTAAACCCGGGGCAAGAAGCCCATGTATTAAGAACAAAATTCAATTACAATTACAGAAACCAGAAAACCTGTAGGGAAGATAGAAAAGGAAAACAACAAGAACTAACGGCAAAGCCGTGGAAGGCTACAACAGCTGGGGAATTACAATAAGAAGTCTCAGTATAAATAAAAGAACCAGAACAAATGCATCGGATTAAGCCATCAGAGTATAACCCACTTCGGCACAGCAGAGGCTCCAGTTGCCAAATAATTAGATGATGGCCATCGCGGAGCCATCCAGCATAATAGAAAAAATACCTGCCCGGTTGCCAGGCAGGCCGTCCAGGGTAGCTGAAGATCTGGTTCTTCACATCATTGTCCAATTGTAAGATTGCACCCAGCTGTAGTATCCCACGGAAGCAAAAATGCCATAACAGTAAACCCAAGAAATGAGCACCATGTTCTTCAAAAAGGCGAACCGGACTTGGCAGAAAAAGAGCAACAGCCAAGGCCCCAAAATGATCTTCCCAGGTCTGAAAAAAAAATGAAAATAACAGCAGGAGCTACCGAGACTCCCAAAACACCAAAACATCCGTTGCAGCAGCATTGGGCAAATGGGCATTTCACAGTGATAAAATTCCAGTAAAACCATGAAACAATCAGGAGAAACAGTGAGATTAGATACCCGTAAACCTTAGAAAAAGCATATCTTTGTTTTTCCATTTTGAAATCTTTAAACGAATGGCAGCATTGATATTGCAAATCATTTTAACCGGAGTGATTCTTAGATTTGAGAATCTACGGTTGTTTCTCTCGCACCATATGTGATACACAATACAGCTCACAGTTAAGCAACAAAAATCCTTCTCAGTTCTAGAATAAAAATCATGCTGAGCAATAAATTCAAAAGCCTGAATTAAGTTAGGTCTCAGCAGAAAAACATTAAAATCAGGTAGGATGTACTTGAGAATGTTAAAAGAGAAGTCACACTCAAAAAACAAGTGAGCATGGCTCTCAGTCGAACTGGAACAGAGGAAGCATTGTGGATCAATGTGAATTTCTCTATAAATTAAGTTGTCCGCTGTTTTAAGTTTTCCAATCAATGCCATCCAGGCAAAGCAAGCATATCTAAGCGAGTGCTTTTTATGCCAGACAGACCCAAACCAATCCACCTTAGTGAGATGAGAATGAAAGTGTTCAATGAAATCCTTAAATTTCCAGTTGGTAGAACCATTCCAAAGTATAGCAGACACCTCATTCATGTTCAAACCCGCAATAGAAGCAGTAAGATTAGAGGGAGTATTAGGGGGAAAGTTCCAGGTGCCATTAGTAATAAAATCTTTCACAAGTTTCTCCTCTAAGTTTGGAATCACAAACTGTTCAGCAAGAATCATGTCTTTAAACCAAGGGTCCCAAAGAAAAGAAAAGTTGCAATCATTAGACACAGTGAAGGTGATATAACCCCTGATTTTGGCAGCAGTAGCATTAATTTTCTTCCAAAATTTGGAAGCAGTGACCGGAGGATTCTTCCAGGGAGAGATAAATTTAGATTTATACCAGCTACATAAATAGTTGTGAGCATTATAAAATCTGCCTATGAAAGAGCAAAAAACCCCATGATATAATGCTTCAATAGATGGAATGCCCAGCCCGCCATAATGCTTAGTCAAAGTGACTTTAGCCCAAGCAATAAGGTGCAATTTCTTCTCATGAATATTGCTGTGAAACAAAAACCTTGAGCAAATCTTATTGATATAGGCACAACAAGACTTGGGTATAATTGCACCTCTAATCCAGTAAGCAATTGTATTTATCACGGTGAATTTAATAAATTGCACTCTACCTGCAAAGGAAAGAAACTTATTTTTCCAACCATCAAGTAGAGCAGAAATTTTGCTCAGTAGTGGTTGGAAGTGAGTATTTTTAAGTCTTTTAGAGGAAATGGGGAGTCCCAAATAAGTAAGGGAGGTGTTGACTTGGTGAATACCAAGAGTCGCAGAAATGAATTGGGCCAAATTATCATTGTGAGAGAAAACAATTGAACTTTTGGCTTCATTAATAAAGAGTCCAGAATAAGAGCTAAATTCCATCAGGCTAGATTTGAGAGCCTCAGCATTATCTTTGGTAGACTCCCCAAACACCAGTAAGTCATCAGCATACATAAGGTGATTGATGTGTACGTCTTTATAAGCAATCCCCTTAAAAATAGTGTTTCTATTCAAAATGTTAGAAAGCCCGTCCATCACAACACATAATAATAAAGGAGATAGAGGACATCCTTGACGGAGCCCAGAAGTAGAGTTAAAGAACCCCTCAAGAGATCCATTCAGACAGATGGAGAAGTAAACATCAGATATACATGCTTTTATCCATGAAACAAAGATGTGAGGAAAACATTTTTGTAACATCCTAGCAAGCAAGAATTCCCTCGAAACAGAATCAAAAGCTTTTCTGATATCAAGTTTAGCACAAAACCGCTTATGAGAACTTTTGAAAACCCTAAGAATTTCAGAAGAAAGAATGATGTTATCTGTGGAGCATCTGTTAGCAATAAAGCCTGATTGACTATCATGAATGATGAAGGGGAGCCCTTTTTAAGTCTCTCCACAATGATTTTAGCCACAATCTTATAGAAGACATTACAAAGTGAGATAGGCCTATAGTCATTGATGCTAGAAGCATGAGAACATTTCGGAATAAGAGTTATAGCACAAGCCTTAACACCTCTAGGAAGAGAAGCAGTAGTGAAAAAGTTATTAATGGCGTTAAAAAGCTGAGGACCAAGAATATGCACCGAAGTATTCGCTAATAAAAAAGCCGTAAGAATAACCAATCCGGGCCTGGGGAATTGAAGACACTTTCCCCAATCAAAAACAGCAGTTTTAAAAACCTCCTCAAAGGTTAATAGGGGCCACCAACATACAATGTCATTATATCGTATAGGTATTATATCATACATTTCCAGCAGGTGTAGGGATATTTGTGTTATGTTATTCTAAAGGCAAATCAAGGAGTTTGGTGTCCTGGCTGTCGGTTTGTGTAGGGTTAATTCGCTTTTAAAATTGTAGGGTAACTAGAGCTTTAGAGGATATTCTATATAGATGTGTTATAGGTGAAGTTAATCCGCGATCATTCATAAAATTTTTTCATTGATGCAATTTCTAAATTGTGTCTACTTCTGATTTTTTGGGCATACAAACCCAAGTCCTCTTCCAACCGGATGCTGTGAGCCAATTCTGAGCCCTTAGCTCTTTTGAGCATATTTTCCAGATCGGAACCAGATTCTTTGAGCAGGGTCG